ATATATATAAAACTCTTTTTTAACTTAAACCAAGTTTTCGACAATTATTTATTAACTTTTTCAAGATTAGAATGGTTCAATTAACAGAGTTATACTATAAAATTTAAAAGATAATACAAAATTTTCATTTTCATTATTCTGAACAGCAGTCCATTTTAACCTTGAAAAAGATAATAAATAATAATTATCGAAAGCTTGCTGTAGGTTAAAAAATGGATTTCATTCAACTACCACTTGACGACATCCCCAATTACAGGGTGTCCGCGTTTTTTGTAGCAAGACTTTCACAACTTGTACTAAAAGTCCTTTAAAAAAAAGTTCATGTAAACATATATGTATAGATGCGTCGTTTTCGATTTACAGTGTTCAAGTTTAAAATGAGAATTGATTTTTTTATTCGTAAAACGAAAACCCCTTTTTAGACTGTTGAAACTTGGCAACTTTGTTTGTAATAATAATACTCATTTTCTCACATAATTTAATTTATCCTATTTTCTCCAGTGGCGGCACAACAAGATACCAGCTTGATAAAAATAGAAAAAAATATGATACGCCCCTGCTTTTTGGTAAGTTTGAAATTTTTCTCAGATTTAGCTATCAAAAATACAACTTTTTTTTGTTATTTAATTTTTTCCTATCTCGCTTTGTTTAGTCAGAAATAAAACATTTTCATGAATAGGTTCGAGATTTGCTTAATTTATATACTTACTTGTTACAAGGTGTGCCGTGAATGTCTGTTTTTGAGAGAGACGTTAGGCGGTCTTTGATAAGTTGCTGTAATTTGTGTGTAGAACGAAATGGCGGGCATTTCGAACAGCTCCTTTGAGGTCTATTTATACAATAAGTTGTTTTTCCATACCGTGTTGTTTATTTTTTTATTATCTTACAATAAACTGTGTGAAACAAAAAGTTTTATTTCTGTCTAAACAAAGCGAGATAGGAAAAAAAAAGTAAATAACAAAAAATTTGTATTTTTGATAGCTAAATCTGAGAAAAATTTCAAACTTACCAAAAAGCAGTGGCGTATCATATTTGTTTCAATTTTTATCAAGCTGGTATCATGTTGTGACGCCACTGGAGAAAATAGGACAAATTAAATGATGTGAGAAAATGAGTATTATTATTACAAACAAAGTTGCCAAGTTTCAACAAAGTCTAAAAAGGGGTTTTCGTTTTACGAATAAAAAATCAATTCTCATTTTAAACTTGAACACTGTAAATCGAAAACGAGTTGTGAAAGTCCTGCTACAAAAAACGCGGACACCCTGTATATTTTTTGGTTTCTAACTTAATCGTCAAGATTAACCTTGTCATTTCAATTATATACAGTATGTCCGCGGATTGAGTTTACAAGAGGACAAATAGACCAAAAAGTGAAAGATACGAAAAAAATGCATTATTGATAAAAGTTTTGGCTTGTTTAGAAAATACGAATCACCATGACGAATTTCAATTTTGTTGCACAGGGTGGGATGAATTTATCTTTCAAATTATTTTATTTCAACAATTACCTCTGATTGTTCTACAGTTTCCTTCGCAGAAACCCAGCACAAGTAGCATATCAACTTGTTCGATAAATGTAAATTTTCCAGCCATTTTCAACAACAATCATATTCGATATTTTCTGACCTTGAACGTCTACCGTGCATTGTTCGATCAGCTCTGGTCGACGCGACCGGTTTAGTTGCCATGTTATAAAAGTTGCTATAACTCCGAAAATAATTCGAATTTTGAAAAATCCGCTTAATGACATATTATTGATTGTTTTTAAAAACATGCAAAAAATCGATTTGTTTTCAAATTTCTAGACCAAAATACCTCCTTAAGCCAACCTACTACTGCTATTCCTGAGTGGGCAGGTGCTCCATCCAACTGTAGCTAACAATCTGCACGAAGCTGTAATGCCAAATTTTCCAGAACAATGGGAAGATCATGTTAATAAAACCCAACGAAACATTCACATTACTCGTAAATTCATTCTGAAATGATGACGGCCTAATAGCGTGTTGGTTTTCATGTTGCCATAAGTGTAAATTGTGAGGGTTTACAACGCCTCGCCTCGTAAAACACGCTTAGTCTGTCCACAGAACTGTGGAGACAAAATCAACATCATTTTCGATTCGATGTAACAACGAATAGCAGAAATTCATTCGATTCTGCGCATCTCCAGGGTGCAAATGTTCAACCTTTTTAAAATGATATGCATGTTGATGATCTTTTTTAAGAGTACTCCATAACTTGTTTTTATTTAATTGCAGCTACTAGCTTGCTCTTCTTACGCTT